ATCTCCCCAAAACCCCAAAACCCCAAAACCCCAATATAATATTTTGTGCTGAAAATGATCTAAGTGGATTTTTTGTACAAACCAATCAAGCGTTAAATCATAAAAGAAAGAAAGATAGATACAGTCAGAAAGGGTGAAAACACTTATTTCCTTTAACTTAGTAAACTTGAGTGCAATGAACTGAGTTCTTGATTGTTATTTCAAGAAAAAGATATGAAACATTGTCAGGAATTTACATTTCTAGCATTTCCTCTCCCGTATTTCTTCTCAGTTGAGCAATGTTCTACACTTAAAGTATGGTGTTTGTTCAGATATGGTCTCAAATCTTTCATCTGATCTAGCATCTGAGTGATACAACATTATACCTTTTAGTGCCTTAATATTTTTGTCCTTTGTGCTAGCTTGTTTACAACAATAACTGTGATACAGAGAATTAATAGGACGCTGTTCTTAAGACAGTAAAAGTTATCCACAAGTATGATGCTTTATGTCTCTCTTTCCCAAATTTACAATATTTCTCAATTAGCTCAAGCCTCTAATGATTTCTGGCTGAAGAAAAAGGTAAGAAGGAGACTAAAATTATGGAATCCTTAAACTTAGATTAAAATGAAAGTTTATGGTTATTATTATGAAGATAAAGTCTCCATTAGTACCACCTATATTCCAAATGCTAAGTGTTTGCACTGTCTGGACTTCTAGCTGAGCTCTTTGTCTTGAAACCTATGATAAAGGCTAGATTTATTAAGAGTCATTAGAACTTAGCCTCTTCTTTTAAGTTTCTTTGAGAATTTTATCAAAATTAGTTTAGTTCACTTCCTTTAGAACGAAGTAAAAGTAAACTTCATAAGTTAGTTTGTTCTCTAAAATGAAGAATTCCTGTTATTTAATAAGCTTTCTTATCCCTCTTATGTCTCATTTAGCACTTAGAGGATTACTCTAAGACAACTCCCAGATGAGGCTGAGTCTTGGAGTTTGGAAGTTATTCTTCTACAAAATATTGGACCATGAAAGTTAACCTCTTTTTTATGCCCATGTGGTACGAATTAAGATGTATCAGTTAATCTTCATTTAGTGTTTGTCTCATACTATAAATGCTAAATTCCAGAGTTGCCAAATAAAAAGAAGACCGGCAGTACTCCTAAAGCTGGTTGGATTGAGTTTTGACCCTTAAGCTTTAAGTCGTACAAATACTGATCTAGGTAATTATGTCCAATTGGAAGGTAGAATTAATTATAAAATTGAGGCGGAACTTTTGAAGACCTCTTCTAAAATTTGGCCTTTATGGCAGTAATTTAACGTAAAATTAGCTTAAGAGAAGCAGTTGCATCTAGGTTAAGTTTTGGCCTTATTTAAGGGTAAATTTATTTTATAGGATCTTTATTTGATCATTTTATGAAATAAACTTATTCTCAGAATTTTTCCTAAAATTGAGCCTCATGGATGCAGACCCTGAATAAATCATAATCCTAGTTATTTATATAAATATTGTAGGGAGAATTGAGGAATAATATCTTTCAAAGGAATTATTGGCCAAAATTTATTTCAAAAATTAATGAAGTCAAACAGGTTCATGGCAATTGAAGAAATATGTGCCACAAGAGGTTGACTGAACTCTTTCAAAATGTTTGATCTCGTATCTAAATCACAATTCCACTATTTCTAAAAGCCTGGTCCTAGATCAACCCATAACATTGAGAGATCTCCATCTAAAATATCTCTCTTATCTCAAGAGTAACCAAGAATCTTGTTTGTTTTAGAGACGGAATCTTATCTAAAAGTTAAGTCCTCACAGAAATTCTTAAAATATTCTTTGCTTTGTGAACTTAAGTTGGATCTCTCACAAGCTCTTGCTCAGTGCTGATCATATGACTGATTAATGCCTTATGAGCCCTGAACCAAGTTTCTTTAGAAGAGTTGAGAGAAAAATAATCGTACAAATTCTTCTGGAGTTTATCTTTTCCTAATAATCCTCATATTATTCATTCTATAATGTTTCTGGACAAAGTGAGAACTCATTCATTGATAGGCGTATACTTTCATTGTTCCTAAAATGCTAGCGTTTACAAAGGAGTGTCTTTGGGCCCAAACAGATCAACCATTTAGTTTTATTGTCAGAATTGTACGAATCGTGAAGTGTTCGATTCTGAACAATAAATGCAGAAATTATTCCAGACCCTAAATTGATGTTTAACCCAATTCTGATAGCGAAGAATCTGGTTTACTAGAGTTTGGGCTAGGATAAAGGATCAGCTGCCAAGACCCAACAATATGAAAAACTGAAGTGAATTATATCAAGAGCTTGGAAGGCAAAGGCCCTGTTAATTATCCAACTGTTCTTTTCAAGTTTTATTTATTTGCTGTGAAATCTCTGATCCATATATTCAAATTTCAAAAATAGAGGATGAACATATCTCAGACGGTTCATTCCTTAGTGAACAACCTTGAAAATTTAGCAAATGTCGCTATGCTAAAGGTAAGAGATACATGTTGCTGTTTTATAATTTTTTGTCACTCCAATTGGTGCACTTTTTGGAAAAATATTCATAAGCACCTGAAAAGTTCAATATTTAGAGGTTAGGATAAAACTGTCTATAAAATCCTTATTTAGAAGATCAGTCCATTAGCATCATTCATCCTTTTTTGATGATGGTTCTAAGCTTTGTGTGATGAGTCAATAGCTAAAAAAAGAAGTCTCTGCAAGAGTAAATATGCATAACTTAATGCTAACTAATAAAATGTTAGGACTAGTCATAAACTTACTATTCCAATTTTGCTCTTACAGCATAATTTAAAGCGGAAGAGATATCTCCTAAACTCACTAGCGAGATTTCTGCCTTTTAAGGTTTGTTTTCCTCTCTAGCACAAGTCTCAAGTTTACCCATAAATAAAAAAAATGAACGAAATTTTCTAATGTTGGTAGAAAATAAGAAAAAAAGAACGAGCTCACTTTGGAGAGGCAACTGTCGCTCTCTCTTATTTCTAAAGCGAGAGTGAGAGTTTAGTAATTTTAGTATCTTTCATAGCACCAAAAGTCTTGAAAGTATGCTAATGGAACATTTGCTCATCCTTAAATGCACGTTGCATGATATAATTCAGCCTTAAGAGCTCGATTCTAAATTTTTATGGGCAAGGATGAAATCTAGAGCCTCTTTTCAGCTAAACTGTGCAGCCTGTGGTCATTTAACAATGATATGAAAGTTCTCCATAATAGCTCTCTAGAGTGCATTTCCAGGTTTAATAAACTTATTAATTGATATTAATTTTCTTGCTCATTAGAGGCTTGCTTGCAACGAAGATGAATGGGGCTCTGTTGAAATACAAATCTTGCATAAATTTAGAGTCCCAATTCCTTAAACAAAGAGTTCACGTTTTGGAAAGTCACCCCTTCTTGAAATTAATAATAAATCTTTGGTTGTCCCCTAAGTTTATCAAAATTGATCCTCCCGAATGAAAAATCAATAACTATAAATTCCCGACTTAATAGTTTCAGTAAACTTAGAATTGATTGTCTCTCAGACAGAATATTATTAAATTCTTCTTAAATTAACACCAAACTGAAATATTTCCTTAAAAAGTTAAGTAAAAATAAAATAATGAAGACCTCTAATAAATATTTCTAAACTTGCCAGGAGCTTACGGAACAGAGCTTTTGAGGTATGAAACAAGATGTCCTAGCTCTATATCTCTAATGATAAGGCTCCCAAATTCAGCCGGATTACTGTGAGTGAAATCACCACTTTTTGCAAACCTCTATTTTGAACTCTGAGTTAATTGAAGAATGGCTGAGAATAAGTGCATAAGATATTATCAATGAAATTAAATTTAGTGCTTCCTGCCTTATCTCTGGAGTATGACAGCAGAGAATCCCTTCAACTTCACTGAAATGCTTGTAATCTATATGAAATAATATGGAACAGATTCTTTAAAATATAGAAGAGAAATTTGATAAGTCTTAGACTAACTTTGCTAAACTTGAACATCTTTGGGCTCAAAATTTTTACTAAACTCGATTATCAAGAGAACAATAATATCTGTAGTCATCAGATTGAGCAATGATTACTCATTCTTCGAATGGCGAGGATTATTAACTAAGTGAGCATTATTAATCTTTTTAACCCTCGAAACTCTTGATAATAAGATCTTTGATAACTTTTGGTTAACTTAGTTATAATCGTTACTAAGTACACTGTTCACATATTCAAGATGCAAACATGTTAGTAAAAAAGTTCTTCCTTATTTTTTGACAAAATTTGGAGATTTTCCTTGAGTGTTATTATAGAACTCTCCAAAATTTTTAGAAATTGAAGCTTGAGGATCAAAGTAGAGCTGTATAACTCGATTATTCCTGCTCTTTAATTCCTTTCAAGCATTAGCAGTATGAAAGCAATAAAATTTGAAAAAAGGGTTAAAATATGAGTTCACAGAAACTATGAGTCACATAAAATAAAATGGCTGTTTCATTATCATATAGAGTAACAAAAATCATTTTATCTTGCTTCCAGAAATCTCTATGAAAAAGAAACAATCATAGAGTTGTTCAGACAACTACGAGTGATTCTTATCGCAATTATTCACTCCCTTTGTGCAAGGAGGACATTAAATAAAAATCGGCAGAAAATTTAACAAAATGATGATTTATTGTCAAAATTAACTAAATCTGTTACCACCTAAAACCCAGAATGAAGTTGATCTTTCATTTTACCTAACAAACAGGAGATTCTGGGAGAATTGCTAAGAATAGGACTCGATAACTTATATGTCGAGCCGTCCCCATTGCAATAGGACTTCCGACTTACCTTAATAATTTGCATGGCTATTGCACTATACTTGTTTGCTCTCATGCAAACAAACTAAATGGCTCCAATGATCTGCAAGACTTCTCTCTTTGTGTACGAGAAGTTGGTCTTGGCCTACACAATAAGCAGAAGCATACCTTTTTACCATGAAAGTTGATGGCAAGTTTATCGTAGATTGCTGCTGCCTGGAGCTTTGACTTGTATCAGCCAACGTACTTTTTGGACTTGTTGATGATAATGTAAACCTGCCAAGCTCCACCATTTTTGGATACTCCGATATACTTGGAGCCTCTGAAGTCATCTCCGATGTGAGTCTTCCGAGTTTTGGCTCTTTTGTTGATTGCGATTTCTTCATCGCTGGGCAAATGAGATAGAGATTCAGCTAGAAACCTGTGGGTTTGCTCAAGGATTCTGGGAAACTCTCTTTGCATTTTCCTAACCAGTTTAATTTCGGAGGGAGTCATCCTTTTTATTCTTTCTTCTTCAGAAATGGGTTGAGCCGATTGAGGGTCAAGGCAGCAGCAATATTTAGCATAGAACTCGTTCACCATGCTTTTCTCAAACGATTGGGTGTTTCCTTGATGCTTGCTGCTGAATCACTCTCCTTTGAAGTTCCGAACATCATTTTCCACTAATCCGTTGAACTCTTTCATAGGAGGACTAAGCATTGGCACACATTGCTGGACTATTCATGAAGTTTGGTTATGTAAATCTTGAGTGGTCTCAAGCAAACTTGGAGAAGCTTCTATATAGAAAGCTTCTGGATACTCGGTGATGCTAAGGGTCACGTGACTCCTTTCTTGGTTTGACTATGTAGAGTTAATGTTGCCCATATACCACACCAAATAACAACAAACTCAAAACATTCAGGAACCTAAGAATCTTACAATAAATGCAGGTGGAAGAATTTGAGATTGGTACATATTTTGGATATTTTGTGTTGGTGATTCCATTGGAACGACTTAAATTAATTAAATGATAACAACCTCCTCCTCTTATATGGGGTTTTGGGGTTTTGGGGTTTTGGGGTTTTGGGGTTTTGGGGTTTTGGGG